TGGTCTTAGACAATGAGAACTGGCGTCTGAATAATGTTTGATTGTGAGCCATGTAGAGTGTGTTAAAAGTGGGTCAGTATGAGCCTCTTCAACTAATTATCATCACTTCAGTTTGCAGAAGAAAGTGAGGTGCGAAGCGATGACTTGGGTGGAAATTGTGAATGCTATGGCTTTTCCACATTCCACGAGGTGGTCCTTTTGTGCACACTGCTTCATTCGAGTAAAACAAACATCCTAGCAGTAACTTTTCTTCTTCTGAGCTCTGAGCACTCATAACTCTTACAGCGGTGGGGATAAATCGGAGGCTTCAGTGTGCACATTCACGTTTTCACTCTTAATGAGGTAACTCGGTCAGTTGGCTTGACATTGTCCTTGATTTAGGAGTGACATGTAACCATTGAGAATGCAAATCGCCCTTGCCTTGATGTCTTTGCGCTTCTTTCAACCAGTGTAAAAGTAATGGGACAATAGTGGAAATAGTGAGCGAAAACAAATCTGCGTTTCAGTTGTTGTCGGTGTAGGGCTTCCCTCATTGGACCCTAGTGACAAGTCTCTTAATCGATGCGACCCACTCACAGAAGGCGGTATGCCATTATAGAATGGGCGTAGGGGTGGATTGTTGAGATCCCATAGGATGTCCTCATCACGGGGTTAGGCATGTCGCCATACTTGCCTCCTCCTCCTCCTCCTCCTCCTCCACACTCTATTAATAGCTATGAAACGTAGTCTTTTTGAGGTAGGAAGGGCAAGTTTATATCTATGTGTTATGACAATGCAGTATTGCAAGTTTTGCTTTCCTTCCTATCACTTTGTTTGGTTTAATTGTTTAGCCTGCAGCTATTAATCTTCCATTTTTAACAAGAGGTCAACTCCTAGGGGCTTTCTCAGCCTCCGCTTTGTTGTTGTTGTTGTTGTTGTTGTAACATGCATGGTTAATGTGAAAGGAGAGCAACTAATTATGCATTAATCTAGCAGCGTAATAGGTTGAGTAGGCATTGCTTAAGTTCATTTCCCTCTATTTGATCGGATTGAAGGTGTTCACGATTGTATTGTCCCTCCCAGCTCCTACAAGCACCCTCACCTTACATTATTGGCTTACCGCGAAGCTTTCGGGACTCACGTCTTTCCTTCCACCTTCCTAAAGATGTCCTCCTTGTCGATTTGGATACACAGGAGGTGAGACAATTTTTCTCCCCCTCCTCCTCCCTCGCTCCTCCTTCTTTTTTTACGCTTGCTTAACCCTTCTCTTACTCGAGTTTTCACTCCGCTTTCATTTCAAGCTTTACGGTCAAGACGCTCATGAACCCGTGCCCAAATTACCTCCAAATGAGGAAAGGAAACTGACCTCGCAGTTAAACAAGGTAAGCCCTTCAATTTCGCCTCAATGTCAAAGTTAACCTCACCTCACCACCTTGTCCTTCACTATCACTTTATGCACACTTGTGCATCGCCTTTGTTGTAGGGTTCTACTTACTCTGATGCCTTCTGACATTTCCATCCATTTGTTAGGCTAGGAAGGTAGGTGGGTCCCAAGGCTTGCAGCAGTCTCCACCATCGTCTTCACCCAAACAGAAGTGTGTATTTTTATGTGCGCTTTCACTTGTGCTCTCAATAGGGCCCACGCACCAGTCGGTTGACGAACCTTTCTTTTAAACACACACACACATGCTACAGATGAGTAGAAAAGTTCACTGGGAAATAGTGTGGTTTTCCTCTACTTCCTTCGTAGTCGGTAGGTCTCCTCTCCTGCGCTAAAAAAGTATGCCTCCAGTTGGCATTTTCATGGTACTTATCACCTTATAAACGTACCTCCTTTAAATTAAGGTAATAGAAGGATTGAATGGTCTCAAGGCTGTCGAATCGGGAGAGGGAAAGAAGGGAAAGGAGAATGGCAACGAGCTCACCTCCATCGCTGATCTCAACATTTTCCAATTGGAGGATCTCAATCTTGATGAAGATTTGCTAGATTTGGCTATCCGTATTGCTATGGTAGGTGGGTGTGTTATTTCTTACTGTCTTATCTTAGGTCATG